CGACCGGCTCTCAGAGTTCGCCCACACTTTCCTCTTAAGTGTGTACTTCGGCTTTAATAAAACGCACTTTCCTGCTTTCTGCTTGTCGAGTCCTTGAATTCTTTCTCACGAAGTAAGACAAGAACCTGGTCACTGGAGCTCCGCGTCAAGGTCCCTTCTTGGACTCCCTCCCCGTGGAGCTCTTTGGCATTAATACGACTTTCTTTTGTCTTTAAAAAGTGAAATGCCAGTTCTTCTGAGCCCCATTGTTATAATTATACACATCAGTGCTGAAAGATTCCTCAGAGACCATGTAGACAAGGGACAGCACCCAGAACATTTCTGCTCAGTGAGAAGTGGTGGCCGGAGCACTGTGTTGGGAGGCGTTTTGAGCCTTGGGCATAGTCTGCTCGGCGGGAAGGGTGCAGGGATCCATTTTAGGTGGCATCAGCTAATGTTGTCTGCCGTGGGTCTAGCCAGAGAGTTGTTATGGGAGCCATCTACGTGGTGACATCCCTGATAACAGCCCAAGCCTCTCATTTAACTGGTGTGGGGGAAGCTCAGAGACATCAGCCTAGTTGCTAAAAGCCACAAAGCTATTTAGTATCTTACCAATTTATTAAAAAAATAAAAATAAAAAAATAAGGTTCAGGATTTCAGGATCAGAGAAAAAATGAAGAGTAAGAGAACTAACCATTCTGAATACAAAAAATTATCTGCCTTAAAGGCTCTTCGGATGGAAAACAAACCTTCCTGAAGCCTTTTGTTAGACACTATCAAAATTGTTAGAAGCTCAGACTGGTTCTCTCCAGAGCCAAATGTGCACAAAAGCCTGAGGCCTTCTCGCTAATTTCAGAGAAATTTTCAAGTCTATAATGTTAGAGACTATTTCTTCCAAAAGAAAATTTTTCTTCACACTTGAATGAAGAGGTAAAGAAGTAGGAAGAGATTTTTAAAGTGTTATTTGCCTAGGATTAATGGACATTTGAATTTAATTTTAGAATCTTTAAAATGACAGCTCGCATAATATTATTTTAAAAAAGTTCTTCCCCTCTACGGTATATTGAAAAGAAAAGGTCCAAAGAGGATTTGGACATGGTTTTAACTAATTATGGTAGCAGGCAATAGTCTCAGTTTCAGAATAAATAACGCTTTATAGCAAATCCAAGTAAAAGACTCAAATCCTTTAACAGAGCCAAGCTGTGGTGACATGCTTTGAGAAAATATGGTCCCCAAATCTCTCCTCTACTTGCTTGAGAATTTACTATTAAACATTCAGAAATTATTTTTGAAAATAATAATATTTTTGTGTAATATGTCATTTCAAGTTCACTGTTAGCTAATAATAAAGGAAGAAGGGAAGGCTAGTGGTGAGGTAAAGGGATTTATTATTAGCTGTGGAAGAAGAGATGAGAGTGAAAAAAATAATGGTCCTCAGAGAGTAGCTACAGGAGTTTTACAGTCCAGAGATGGAGTTTGTGTCTCAAGACTACCTCTGACTCTAGAATGTTCCACTCAGTTTAGCCCTAATATACCTGAAGACACAATAACTAACATTAAGGAGCTAATGAAAACCACCCTCATAAACAAACTCTCTAGGTGTCTTTGGAAAATAGAAAAGAAAAAAAGAAAAGAGAAAAACAATGTAAGAAAGTGTAGGAGTACCTTCTCTCCAACATTTCTGAGAGAAGATGGGGGTTGAAAACCTCAAACAAAATGTTGCCCCAATCTCACTCGGCTAATTTTAGTTATCTTGGTTCATGGCTATGATTCATCCTTAAAGCTGTGAATTGCTGAGGAGGAAGGAGGAAAAAAAAATGACTTAAATGTCAAAGAAGTAGGAACAAAAAATACAGTTTCTTTTTTGGGGAACTAGAATTTTAGGATATGGGGATCTTTTTTCTCATGAGGGACTGAATGCTTTAAACTTCTAGAAAAATAATGATCTCCAGTCAAAACATCATCAAGGAATAAAAGACAGCATTGATTATGAGCGATGTCATATATGAATTTTTTCCTCTACGGCGTACTTTCCTTTTCTCCTTGTGTCCCTTTTTAAATCCCATTAAACTAGAAATCACTAATAATCATATGTAGTTGAATATGATAGAAGCTTAATATGTAAACTGTAATTCAGAATGGAACTCCTCAAGCAGGTGAGGGAGAAATGAATGGAGACAAACAGAACTATGAGAAATAAGTCTGGAGAATGGGATGGCAGCACAGAGAAGAAAGGTATGTTTGCATGGCCAGATGTCGTCTTGCCTGCTAAAGTAAGGATCAGACTGGTACCAGTCTGTGGCCTGTTAGGAACTGGCCTCACAATCGGAGGTGAGCAGCAGGTGAGCCAGTGAAGCTTCATTTGTATTTGCAGCCGCTCCCCAGCGCTAGCATCACCACCTCAGATCATTGGGCATTAGATTCTTGTAGGAGCACCGGTCCCTGGTGCCGGAAAGGTTGGGGACTGCTGTGCTAATGAATAAGGGGCAATAGAGATGGTTTGGTGAAACCCCATCCTAAATCAAGAAAAAAAAAGGTTTTCAATTTACTAAGTGTCCTCTAGTAAACTGGTTATCATTTTGAGTGTCCACAGGTTTAGAGGAAGAAAATAGAAGTCACTAACTTGTACTCAGTTGAATGACTAATTTCACTGTCTGAAGTGCTGACCCTTTCTACCATCAGCTTAGCCACTATCTACGTTTTGAACTCTTTATGACCTTAAAACTTCTGAGCAGTAATAGAAATATATGATGGTTATAAAAATAGGATCCAGGGAATGAAAGAGTTCCAATGACTTCAGAGCAGATTCCCTACAGCCCTGAAGCTCTGAGGAGAGTAGCTCCAGGGCACAGTTGTGAACTTGATTTCTGCACATACTCCTATCCTCAGCTTCCTCAGAGCACTCTACTCACCTTCCTTATGGCTCTGCTCCTTCTGTTGTTCTCATACCTGGATACTACTGTGAATAGCAGCAATCACTGTATCTCTTCACCCAGCTGATGTGACAAATGCATCTCGGTAGATAAACTAACAGAATATTAAGGAGGTAGAAGGGACTGTGGAGGTTGTAGAGTCCTACTACTTGGTTTACATATGGGAAAACTGAGACCTTGAAGATCCAAGTGACTTTCTGGCTCAAAGCATTCTCTCTTTTGTGTCTTTTAGAAGATGCCAATTAATGCCTGTGGTCGTGACTACCTAATATTGTCTCTAATAGAGATACTTTAAAGTCCATAGAAAATATTTGCCAGAAGGATCCTTGGCCACTCTCATTTCATGCCACTTTGGCCCACTGCCTTAATTTTCCGAGCTCCTGCGAGGTGTGCCAAAGTGCAGTGAAGACCTGTTTCATTTGTCATTTCCATGATCAACTCTTACCTTATATGGCAGTGTTATGGGCTGTGTTTCTCACACATACATGTTGAAATCCTAAACCCCAGTACCTTTACTTGGAAATAGGGTCTTTGGAGGTTTAATTAAGTTAACATGAGGTCACTGGGGAGGGTCCTGATACCTTGTGATTGTTGTCATAAGAAGACAGACACTTGAAGACAAAGGCAGAGAATAAAGTGCTGCAGCTACGAGTCAGGGAATGCCAAGGATGGCAGGCCACAACCGGAAGCTAAGAAGAGGCAAGGAAGGATTGTCCCCTACTGGTTTCAGAAGGAGCATGGCCCTGCTGAGACCTCGATTTCAGACATCTGGCTTCCAGAACTGTGAGATAATAAATTCCTATTGGTTCAAGCCACCCAGTTTGTAGTACATTGTTACGGCGGCCCTCGGAAACGAGTACATGCAGAAATAAAGGCAAAGAGGAGGGCACCTGGGGCCAGAGGAAAGGAGGGAGACCTTCTTCACTTGAGTTGGTTTACTAATATCATTTATTGAAATGATCCAGAGTGGTTTCACATGATGTTTTGAAAAAAAAATTGATGTGGGGACTCTTCCTGTCCACTTTCTTAAAAATGTAATGCAAGTTGCTATTTAATTAAATCTCCATCATAGAATAGTCAGATGATTTTCAGTGTTCTAGGTTAATAATCGATTTTATTTTCCTTACTCTGATGGTTGTGGTCTTTTTCTGTTTTACTTATTTTGTCATTAATATTTTATTTTGTAGTGTAGCAATGTGTATTTCTTTGAAATATGTAATCAAAGGCATTTAACAAACGCTAACTATCTGTGATATTAAATGCATGAATAGTAATGTGTATTTCTTCGAAATATGTAATCAAAGGCATTTAACAAACACTAACTATCTGTGATATATTTTTCAGGTACAAATGATGATCTACATGATGTTATGTTCCAAGGCTCTGATTTACTCTCTGTAAATAGCATTAAAAATTAAGTCTGGCCTTGATTAAAATAATCAGTTTCATAGTTTCTTTTGTAAAGCTATTCTCTGTTTACAAATAGCATTAATGAAGGTAAGGATACTTATCATCATATTTTTCAAAAGAAAAAAATTTTTAAGGTCCAACAAAATATAATATGTATTGTGAGCCCAAGTTTGAAAACAATATCAAGAACCTTCACATATCACCCAATTTTCAAGCATAGCCACATTCCATAAGCTCCTCCAAAATAATCTGCTCTCTTATGTTACTCAATTATCTGAAAAATTCAAATGTCTTTTAAGGAAGATTTCCCTCATAAAATTAATGGTTGAACAAATGTCCAAGAGTTGGGATAGATGGATCTTCTCATTAACCAAAAATCTTAATTCCTTTCAGAAGCCATTTAGGATTATTTCAAACTCTTCTTGGAGGTTGGAGGTTCAGCTTATGATCTATGCAGAGTACACCGGGATGCCTGTGTCTTTGAAAGCACTGGGATATACAAGTCAGACCCAATGTCGAAATTAATCAACCAGTCAATGCATAATAATTCTCCATCTGTAGAATGGAGAATTATTATGCATTGTTTTCTGCCCCATTCCTCTAGGAGAAACACAATCTGATCCTAGGTGATAATACAAGGAACTGGACTACCAGAAGTATAGAGTTAGAAACACTTACTTGAGTGTGGTGAGTTCTGTAAGGGATGGCTGAGTAGCCTTGAGATAGCTTTCTCTTCGTGCAGCAACTTTGGGAGAAGGCTTGGGACTTGTGTCTGAGTCGCCACTATCTTCATCTCCCATGGCCTTGATGTAGCTGCCACTCCGCATTCTTCGGCAGGGAATTTCATCATCTTTACCTCGAGGGGTATACCCTGTCCATTCATCTTGAGGAACCTATTTGGATATAAAAAAACAGATTATTCATTTTTTATAAAGTCTTACATTATTCTTTTCTTTCCTTCTTTTTGGTATGACTCTGAATATGGGTAATACAGATAATTATCTAAAACTTTAGACATTAACTTTTCAATAATGGTATTTTACTATAATTGGTTTAAAAATATTTTGAATACATGCAAATCCATGTCTCAATTTTTTTTTTTTAAAAAACCTGCATATTAGAAAAAATTAAAATCATTGGTCCTGATTTACTAGTTCTCACTTTTCTCATGCTGACAACAACTGAGTCAGGCATAAGAATGCCATTGGAACAGAGACTGGTTTTATTTGAGCTTTTCGATAATTTGTTTTCAATTGCCATTTAAAATTCAAGAATGTTTCTGTTTTATCTACCTCTTCCCTGAACCTTCTATTTCTGCCATCTCGAATCCAATCTCTTTTCTTCCTAAATCAGTGGTTTATACCAACTACATTGATTTCTCAATCACCTATTCTGTCTGGACCCTTCTTAATTTGGATTTGGCCTCCACAGATTTGCTTAAAGTACTCTTTAACGGTTTCCAATGATTTCCTCATGAAAGCTGGTGGCATTTTCTTAATTAAAATATTTTTGGCCTCTATACACACACACACACACACACACACACACACACACACACACACACACCATCTTTTAAGAGTTTTCTTCTTACCTGGTATAGCTACTACTGCACTTATTTGAACTGTTCATTTTGCTTTGCTGGATCCTACTCTAAGTCCCTAATTGTGTATCATATAAGATAACGTTCCAAGTACACTGCTCTTCTTCCTTTCTACAATCATTTCTGTTGACTTCAGCAGAGCACTACACTATGTTACACGGGCTTCTTTATGACTTTCTCTTCAGTTCTTCTTAGATTGTCCACTGCAATGTGGACTCAACCTAGGGTCTCATTTCTCCTCCATTTGATGGAAGAAATGCATAATTATCACTTTTTATACCCATTAAGAAGTAACGAATAGCCTATAGTACACAGGGCTTAATTAAAAAAAGATGGGGAAGTCTGGTTCTTGCCCTGAACGTGTTTGTAATAGAGATGAAAAGACAAAGCATAAACAGATTTGGGAACAGTTCCAAATCAACTTCTTAGCAAGTTTAAGATATGGTGCCATAAAAGGAGTATGCACAAAAAGACATTAGAAAGATAAATTATCAGTAATGGTGATGAAGGAGTTTCCAGGAAGGGTTTCCTGCACTGTCCAGGTTTGTAATGAGAGGGTAAAAAGGTATTTAATATTTTAATGATTATCCATTAGATTATACAGTGTTGCATTAATAACATTTAACTATGTGAAGAAAACTTGCCTATGGGTTCTTATTTCATCAACACAACAACTCTGCATTTTTCTATGTATCTTCGATGATAAGCAGAAGCTCAGACAGCTTAAGAAATTTGCCAAAGAACACATAGTTTATAAATGGCAGCACTGGGAGTCAAAGCATTTTGGTTTAACATCAAAGACCGGAATTTACTTAATCTCGACTTTATAATTAATAACATGAATCTTAAAATTTAAGTGTTAAGAAAATTGTCCACAATGTTACGTACATATATTAGACATATTTCTAAATGTTTTAGGTTCTAAGAAGTGAGAATAGATGTTTCATTAAAGAAAATCC